TGATTATCTATGACATCTGAAAAACTCACACAAAGTATCTATGCCAAAGAGAAGAGAAATTCCACACATAACCAATAAATGAATATTCCAGCAGTCATTTAGGAAAAAAATAGAAAAAGGGTTATTCATATGAGAATTTATTTTTGGATACCTAGCAAAATTTTAATGCCATATTCAAAATTAAAAAACATCCAGCCACAGAAAAGTATCACAGCATTATATATTTGAAAGTATGATCAAAAGATATAACTGTAACTACGTTAAGCTCATTATTTGAAGTATTTATTAACCCTTAATTTTCACTATGTTCCTAAGCACTACCAACAAAATCATACACAGTAAGTATTAATAGAATAAAAGGTATAATTCTCCTCTGTACTTTCTGAATATCTTAAAATACCTGCTGTTTTGGTATATAGGTTTACTAGACATTTTTCCATTTTGGCTTAAAAATAAAATTCATCTATATGTTAATGGAAGATTCATCATTCACACATCCACAATTCCCTTTCTAATTAAACATAACACCTAAATTTATGCTACATAACATAATTTCAGTTTTTTAAATAATTATAGGAGAAGACATAATTATCTTACTGGAAAAATTCAAAATTATCAAACGTTCAATGAAATATACACACTAACTTGCAATATGACAGAAAACTGCCATGAAGAGATCACACCAAAATGGAATTAGAAACTTTGCTTTCTCTGGTAGTAAAGCATTCACCTACTTAAATTTCAAATATTACAGAAAAGTTGAAAGAATATGAAAGAATAATACAACCAAAACCTTCACCTAGATTCAACATTTGTAAGCATTTGCCACAAATGCTCTCCTACTTCTACCCTCTTCCCCATTTCTTCCTCTCCCCCTCCCTAGCCATACCCCCATACACACACACACACACACACACACAAATATATACTTATATAAGTTTATATATATAAATATATGTATTTCTAAGAAAGCCCCCATAATCAAATACATTAATACATCCACAGAAAAACAAATGACACTGAGATAAACAGACTATTATAGTCTTATAAATCCAGTTTACTGCTGGCTGATGAGACTATATATAGTCTTTGGTACTTCTACCAGTGATTTCGGATAACATCAGGTTTTGTCCCAAATGAGATTTTTTTACATTTTGTCCCAAATGAGATTCATTTTCAGAGTTTTGGAATTTAAAAATATGGGTAAGATACGGCAGGCTGTAGTATTACTCCCAATTTATAGACGAGGAAACTGAAGCACAGAAAAGTTAAATACCTTATACCAGACTACAACAGGTGGCAAAACCAGTAAGTAAAAATAGGCTATCTACTCTATATAGAGCCCATACTTTCAATCACTACTCTAGGAAGACTTCAGCCCAACAGAAAATCCTTGTGACTGTCCTCATTTTTATCCAGAATCTGGATTTTAAAACTTACCTCTAATTCCATTACTACCTTCCTAATCTGAGCCACCATTATCTCTCACTGGGTTTATTGTAATAGCCTCCTAACAAGGTTCCCTGATTCTTCTTTTGCTTCTTTAGTCTGTTCTCAACACAGCAACCAAAATGCTCTTTATAAAAAATTAGCTCATGTCATGTAACTGCGTAAGACCATTTAGGGCTTTACATTTAGCTAACAGTAAAAGCCAATGTTCTTCAAAATAGCCTACCGGAAACCCTAAGATCTACACCCCCTCATTGACCTGAAAGCTCAATGGCATGTTCTTTTGTGTCCCTACTGCCTACATGTCAGTCATGGACCTGACCTGCTATCTTGAAAAACCTGCCAAATATGATGACATCAAGAAGGTGGCAAAGCAGGTGTCAGAGGGCCTCCTCAAGGGCATTCTGGGCTACAATGAGCACCAGGTTGTCTCCTCTGACTTCAACAGCAACATCCACTCTTTTACCTTTGATGCTGGGGCTGGCATTGCCCTCAGTGACCACTTCGTTGAGCTAATTGTGTTCTATATTGTATGCACCTCAAAGGTGAATACTAGTTCATTTAAGGAAAAGAACAAAAGAGCTACTTTAAGATCGTTTAATTCTGACTTAATTTAAAAAATAATATTCTCATTTCAGAAAAATTTGGAATCTTTAACTTGTAAATATGGCAATTAGCATATCAAAGGTAAGTTTAATTATGATCAATATTACTTTCTTTTTTTTTTTTTTTTTTTGAGGAGTCTCACTTTGTCGCCTGGCTAGAGTGCAGTGGTGCGATCTCGGCTCACCGCAACCTCCGCCTCTCAGGTTCAAGTTATTCTCCTGCCTTAGCCTTCCGAGTAGCTGGGACTACAGGCACACATCACCATGTTGGTCAGGATGGTCTTGATCTCTTGACCTTGTGATCCGCCCACCTTGGCCTCCCAAAGTGCTGGGATTATAGGCATGAGCCACCGCACCTGGCCAAATCTTAAATCTAGAGAGAAAATTTTGTGCTGGAAGTCCTAGCCAGAGCAATTAGGCAAGTGAAAGAAAAAAAAAATAAGGCATCCATATTAGAAAGGTAGAAGTTAAATGGTCTCTGTTTACAGACAATATAAACATATATAGAAAACCCTAAAGACTCCACAAAAAACTGTTAAAACTAATAAACAAATTCAGGAAATTTGCATGATACAAAATCAACATACAAAAGTCAGTAATGTTTCAAATACACTATAAACTATCCAAAAATATCAAAAAAGCAATCCCATTAATAATAGCTACCAAGGCCAAATGTGGTGGCTCATGCCTGTAATCCCAGCACTTTGGGAGGCTAAGGCAGGTGGCCCTTGAGGCCAACAGCTCGAGACCAGCCTTGCCAACATGATGAAACTCCATCTCTACTAAAAATACAAAAATAAACTGGGTGTGGTGGGTGGTGCATACCTGTAATCCCAGTTACTCAGCAGGTTGCGGCACAAGAATCACTTGAACCCAGGAGGCAAAGGTTGCAGTGAGCTGAGATCATGCCACCATACTCTAGATAGCATAATATTGTCTCAAAACAATAATAATAATGATAGCCACCAAAAAACAAAATACTGAGGAATAAATTTAACCAAGGAGGTGAAATATCTATATACTGAAAACTACAAAGCATTGATGAAAGAAATGGAAGAAGACACAAATAAATGGAAAAATACCATTTCATGGATTGGAAGAATTATATTACTAAAATGACCATACTACCAAAAGAGATCTACTGATTCAGTGCAATCGCTATCACACTTGATCTTAGCCAAAAGGCTGAGAAGCGATTGTGCAATCGCTATCAAGAGTTCCAATGACATTTTTTCCCCAGAAATATAAAAACATAATCAAAAAATTCATATGAACCGCAAAAGGCCCAAAATATCCAAAGCAATCTTGAACAAAAAGAACAAAGCTAGAGGTATCATACTACCTGATTTCAAAAGTACTGCAAGTTACAGTAATCACAACAGCATGGTACCAGGATAAAAACAAACACAGAGACCAATGAAACAGAATAGACAGCTCAGAAATAAATCCATGCATTTACAGTCAACTGATTTTTTACAAAAGTGAAAAGAATATACAGTGGAGAAACAACAGTCTCTTCATTAAATGGTGATGGGAAAACTGGATTTCCATATGCTAGAAGACTGAAATTAGACCCTTACTTCACATATTTTAAAAAATCAATTCAATACGTACTCAAATAGACTTGAAACTGTAAAACTACTACAAGGAAATTTAGGGGAAAAGCTACATGATATTGGTCTGGGTGATGATTTTTTTAGATATGACCCCAGTGGGATAGTTAAAAGCCAAAATAAACAAATGGAATTATAAGAAACTAAAAAGCTCTGCATAACAAAGGAGTCAGTCAACAGAGTGAAGACGCAACTGTGGAATAGGAGAGAATATTTGTGAACTATAGACCTCAAAAGGGATTAATTCAAAATATATAAGGAACTCAAATAATAACAACAAAACAAATAACCTGTTTTTAAAATGAGCAAAATGCCAGAAGAGACAGTTCTCAAAGAAGACATATAAATGACCTACAGGTATATGAAAAATTGTTCAACATCACTAATCATCAGAAAAACTGAAATTAAAAGCACAGTGAGATATCACCACACACTTGTTAGAACAGCTATTTTCAAAAAGATGAACAATAAGTATTGGCACGGATCCTGAGGAAAGGAAATTCTTAGTCACTATTCAGTGGGAATGTAAGCTGGTACATCTATTATGGAAAACAGTATGGAAGCTCCTCAAAAAATTAAGACTAGAACTACTATACAATCTAGTAATACCACCACTGGGTACGTATCCAAAGGAAATGAAATCAGTATGTCTAGGAGATATTTGCACTCCCATGTTCATTGCAGCATTATGCACAATGACCAAGATATGGGATCAAGCTAAGAGTCCATCAACAGATGAATAGATAAAGATAATGTGGTACATATATACACCAGGACACCACTCAGCCTTAAATAGAAGGAAATTCTGTCATTTGCAACAATACAGATGAACCTTTAGGACATTATGTTAAGTGAAATAAGCCAGATACAGAAATACCGCATGATCTTATATGTGGAACCCAAAAATAGTCAAACTCATAGTGGCAGAGAGTAGAACGGTAGTTACCAGAGGATAAGAGAAGGGTAGGGGCAGCGGGTTGCGGGATTAGGAAAATGCTGGTGAAAGGATACAAAATTACAGTTAAACAGGAGGAATGAGTTCAAGACACCTAGTGAATATTGCTAAGGATAATTTATTATATATGTGAAAATTGCTAAAAGTAGATTTTATTGTACTCACCCCAAATAAATGATAAGAATGTGAAACAATGCATATGCTAATTAGCTTGATTCCACCATTTCACCATGTATACATGTTTCAAAACATGCTGTACATCATACATACATGCAATTTCATTGTCAACTTTAAAATAATAATACAGAATTTTAAATTACTGCAAAAAACTTACAAAAATAAAGACACAAGTTGTATTTAAAATAAAAGTTGACATACCTTGGCTTCTGAAACACTAAACTATACTGTTGGCAAGCCAGACCCACAGTGGGAGTATAAACAATAGGCATGAATTTCTCAATGTCAGACGTTAGCACTCGATAAAAGAGTTTTTCATTTCTATCTTGGAGATCCATTAAGAGAAGATACCTGTAGAAATTGGACATAATTAGATCTATATCCCATAAAGCAGTGAAATAGCTACTTAGAAAGCTAATTAGATATTTTCAACCAAATATAAAGTACTTTTAGGTTATATAGAAAACATCTGATTAAAAAAGACTTAAGAAATGTTCTTTTTTTTTCTAAGACAGAGTCGCAGCTGGGCGCAGTGGCTCACACCTGTAATCCCAGCACTTTGGGAGGATGAGGCTGGCGAATCATAAAGTCAGGAGTCTGAGATTAGCCTGGTGAACATGGTGAAGCCCTGTCTCTACTAAAAATACAAAAATGGCTGGGCATGGTGGCTCATGCCTGTAATCCCAGCACTCTGCGAAGAGGAGGCAGGTGGATCACAAGGTCAGGAGTTCAAGACCAGCCGAGCCAAGATGGTGAAACCCCATCTCCTGAGTAGCTATGATTATAGGCTTCTGCTACCACATCCAGGTATTTTTTTTTTTTTTTGAGACAGAGTCTTGCTCTGTCACCCAGGTTGGAGTGCAGTGGTGTGATCTTAGTTCACTGTAACCTCTGCCTCCCAGGTTCAAGTAATTCTCCTGCCTCAGCCTCCTGAGTAGCTGGAACTACAGGTGCACACCACCACACCCAGCTAACTTTTTTTGTATTTTTAGTAGAGACAGGGTTTCACCATGTTGGCCAGGCTGAGCTTGAAGTCCTTACCTCAAGTGCTCTGCCTGCCTTGGCTTCCCAAAGTGCTGGGATTACAGGTGTGAGCCACCATGCCGAGTCAAGAAATATTCTTAAATATCTCAGAGAATAAAGAACCATAAACTTAATATCATTGAAACATTAATATCATTGCTGAAATAGCACAGTTTTCTTTAACACTTGATGAGACTTAATCCCTATTTTAAAAGAGATGAAAACACCACTATAGATTTAGTTTAATAGTAAGTAAGTTAGCAGAAAGATTTCATCCTTTGACTTGCAGTACTGAATAACCAAGGGAAATGACACACAGCAAATAAGTAAGGGAATGTAACACTCATCCTAAAAATAACTAAGATAGGGAAATTCCAGAAACTCTTCTTTGTGTCTGTATCTTATGGCCATTTTCTTTCTAGAGTCATTTCTGACGCAGAGTTATCTTTGTAAATATAAACCTTCTCATGTTGTCTGTAACCTTCAATCGTTTATAGAATAAAACTCAAACTGCTCAGTACAACTTAAAAGAATCTTGCAAAATTACTCAACAATCTTACCAGCCTTTTTGAACTGATTTTCATTCCCTAGAATAGCTGAAAATGCACAGAATTCTGAGTAAGAGATGCATGGATTCTAATGTTTAGACAAAACCCAGAAAGTAAACATGTGGAAGACAAAGAGTTTAACTTTAGACACAATAAAATTAATTTGGCAATGTGGAAATTACCATTGCTAAATCAATGGTCTATTCTCAGACCTCACCTTACCTATTAGAACATTTGACACAGGAGGTATTCTCTAGGGCTCAATATACTTTCTTTCCTTGACTTCCAGTGTATCATATTCTCACAGTTTTCCTCCTATCTCTCTGGTCATTCCTTTTCTGTTTACTTGCTGGTTTCTCCTTGATATGGTTTGGGTGTTTGACCCCTCCATATCTCATGTTGAAATGTAATTTCCAGTGTTGGAGGTGGGTCCTGCTGGGTATTTGGATCATAGGGGTGGATCCCTCATGAATGGCTTAGCACAATCCCTTGGTGATGAGTTCTTGCTCTAAGTTGATGCAAAATTTAGTTGGCACTTCCCACCTATCCTGCTCTTGTTCTTGCCATGTGATGCACCTGCTCCCAAATCATCTGCCACCATGGTTGTAAGCTTCCTCACCGGGGCAGCAAATATTGGTGTCATGTTTGTACAACCTGCTGAACTATGAGCCAATTAAACTTCCTTTCTTTATAAACTACCCATCCTCAGGTATTTCTTTACAGCAATACAAGGACAGCATAACACACTCGTCTTCTCTGAAAGCTTTCTAACACTCATGTGAAATACATGAAGATATTGTGTTGGTTTTACTTTCAAAATATATTCAAAATCTGACTACCCTCATTGCTATTATCCTAGATCTAAATCACCATCATCTCTTGCCTGGATTATTATAATAGTCACCTAAGAGTTCTCCCAGACTACATTCTATTCTCAACATTGCAGCCAGTCTTTGTGAAACTATAGTTTAGATCATGTGGCTCTTCTGTTCAAAAACCTCAAAAGGCTAACCTTTTTACTCATAGCAGACGTCCTTTAGCACCCTGCAAAGCCATACTTAATCCATCACCCATTACCTCACTAACTTCCTTTCCCAATTTGCCATTCTTTCCCTAGCTCATTCTACTCTAGACCTAAGTCTCCTTATTGATTCTTGAACGTGCCAGCCACAAAATACCGTTCCTCAGACTTCTTCATGGCTAACTGCTTCACCATCTTTGATTACTGCTCAAAACTCACCTTCTCAATAGAGGCTATCCTTGTCACCCAACTCAACAATGCAAACTGGCTATACCTACCCTCAGCATTCTCAGTTCCTCTTTACCCTATTCTACCTTTACTTCCCCCACCCCAAGACAGTAATCATTTTCTGGCATATTTTGGAATTTACAAATTTTTATTACTATTCACAAAATTTAATAATTTGTATTTAAAAATAAGCCAGGCATGGTGGTGCATGCCTGTAGTCCTAGCTACTTGGAAGGGTGAGGCAGAAAAGAACTGCTTGAGCCCAGGCTGTTGAGGCTACAGTGAGCTATGGTCATGTCAGTGCACTGCAGCCTGGGCAACAGAGTGAGACCCTCTTTCAAAATAATAATTTTTAATAATTTATGTAAATTTTATAAGATCAGAGATCACTGCATACAACTCCAATATCTAAAAGAGTTCCTGACACTGAGTTGATGTTCAATATATATTGAGGAACAGTTTGTAGTAAATATATAAAGGTCACCAGTTCTTAGCAGATAGCTGATAAAATGGCCCATGAAAAGAAAATAAAGGACACAGCAACTAAAGGAAAATGTTATGGAACAAATGAAAGAAAGGTTGTGAAGGAGTTTAAAAAGAAGCAAATGTATACATACTGGACAAACTGAGTCAGCCTCTTTGCCCAGCCACCCCATCACATCCAATGGGCTCATGAACAAAGTGGCCATGGTGGCAGGGATAGAGGTTAAATATAGGCTCAGCAACATGAACTTGCACTCACTAAGGCCAACGTGACTATTATAGCCACTGCTAAGTGTTCAATCTGCAGCAGAGACTAACACTGAGTCCCCAATGAGGCATCAGTCTCCAGGATAATCAGCCGGCTGGCTACCTGGTGGCAAGTTGATTATACTCAACAGCTTCCATCATGGGAAGAACAACGTATTTTTTTTCTGGAATAGGCCCTTACTTTAAATCTAGATATGCCTTCCCTGGCTGCAATGTTCCTGCCAAAGTTACTATTCAAGGACTTACAAAATGCATTATCTACCATCATGATATAATAAATGCCTTATCTACCATCATGGTATTCCACACAGCATTGCTTCTGATCAAGAAACTCACTTTATAGCAAATGAAGTACGGGAATAAGCCCATGCTCATGAAACTCACTAGTTGTACAATGCTTCCCAAAATCTGAAGCAACTGGTTTGACAGAAAAGTGGAACACACTTTTGAAGACTCAGTTACAGTACCAGCAAAGTGGCAATATCCTGCAAAGCTGAGGCAAGGTTCTTCAGGAGGCTGTATATGCTCTGCATCAGTGACTAAAAAATGGTACTGTTTTTCTCATAGCCAGGATTCATAGGTGTAGGAATCAAGGAGTGGAAATGAGAATGGCACCACTCACTAACAACCCTAGCGACACACTATCAAAATTTCTCCTTTCTGCCCCTGTGACTTTATGCTCTGCTTGTCTAGAGGTCTTTATTCCAAAGGGAAGAATGTTTCCATCCAGAGAAACACTAATAAACCCACTGAACAGGAAATTAAGACTGCCACCTAGGCACTTTGGGCACCTGAATTAGCAGGCCAAGAAAAGAGTTACTGTGCTGGCTGGGAAAAACTGATCCTGACTACCAAGAGGAAACTAAACTGTTACACTATAGCGGAGGTGAGAGAGTATGTCTGAAACAGCGGAGATCCCTTAGGGTAGCTCTTAATATTACCATGCTCTGTGATTAAAGCTAATGAAAACAACAATCCAATTCAAGCAGGATTACTAATGGCTCAGACTTCAGGATGGAAGGTTTGAGTCACCCTCACCAGGTAAAGAATCAAAATCATCTGAGATACTTGTTGAGGGCAAAGGGGATATGGACTGGGTCATGGAAAAAGATAGTTATAAACACTAGCTATGACCATGTGATCAACTAAAGAAAAGACTCTAATTGTCATAAGCATTTCTTCCTTAATTTTCTATTAATATGTGTGTATACACATAAAAGCAAAAATCCATTTGCAAATATCAGAAAATATAATTTTCTTCCTTATCACCTTATCAAATAATATGATATACTGATTCTGCATCATAGTATTTAAGTATTGCTAACATTATATCACAGTGTTTAAGCTAAGGAATATCGATGAGAATAAACATCACCCAAGGATTTGGCATCCTCTTTTGAGAAAAGGGTTGGTTCATTTTTGGTTTTATGCAGGATAGTTATGTTGTGTTAGGTGAAAGTATGAACTTTGGTATTGCCTTTATTGAAAGATTATGATTTGAGGAGATGCATATGGGTGGTGTCATAGTACATTCACTTTGCTATAACAAAAATACCATAAACTAGGTAGCTTATGAACAACAGAAATTGATTTCTCATAGTTCTGTAGGCTGGGAAGTTCAAGATCAAGGTGGCAGCAGACTCTGAGCCTGATAAGAACCCATTCCACATAGACAGTATCTTCTCACTGCATCCTCACATGAGGGAAAGGGAAAGGGCAGCTTTCTTAGGCCTCTTTTATTTTTTATTTTACTTTAAGTTCTGGGATGCATGTGCAAAACGTGCAGGTTTGTTTTAGGTATATATGTGCCATGGTGATTTGCTGTGCCTATCAATCTGTCATCTAGGTTTTAAACCCTGCATGCATTAGGAATTTGTCCTAAGGCTCTCCCTCCTCTCTTCCCCTACCCAGTGATAGATCCCAGTGTGTGATGTTCCCCTCCCAGTGTCCATGTATTCTCACTGTTCAGTTCCCACATGTGGTGCTTGGTATTCCATTCCTGTATTAGTTTGCTGAGGATGACGGTCTCCAGCTTCATCCATGTCCCTGCAAAGGACACGAACTCATTCTTTTTTATGGCTGAGTAGTATTCCATGGTATACATGTGCAACATTTTTTTTATCCAGTCTATCATTGATGGGTGTTTGGATTGGTTCCATGTCTTTGCTACTGTAAATAGTGCTGCAATAAACATATGTGTGCATGTGTCTTTATAGCAGAATGATTTATAATTCTTTCGGTATATACCCAGTAATGAGATTGGTGAGTCAAATGGTGTTTCTGGTTCTAGATCCTTGAGGAATTGCCACACTAGTTGAACTAATTACACTCCTACCAACAATGTAAAACCATTCCTATTTCTTCACAGTCTCGCCAGCATCTGTTGTTTCCTGACTTTTTAATAACCGCCATTCTAACTGGCGTGAGATGGTATCTCATTGCAGTTTTGATTTGCATTTCTCTAATGACCAGTGATGATAAGCTTTTTTTTTTCATATGTCTGTTGGCCACATAAATGTCTTCTTTTGAGAAATGTCTGTTCATATCCTTTGCTCACTTTTTGAAGGGGTTTTTTTTCTCTTGTAAATTTAAGTTTCTTGTAGATTCTAGATATTAGACCTTTGTCAGATGGATAGATTGCAAAATTTTTCTCCCATTCTGTAGGTTGCTTATTCACTTCGATGATAGTTTCATTTGCTGACCATAAGCTCTTTAGTTTAATGAGGTCCAATTTATCAATTTTGGCTTCTGTTGAAACTGCTTTTGGTGTTTTAGTCATGAAATGTTTCCCCATGCCTGTGTCCTGAATGGTACTGCCTAGGCTTTCTTCTAGGATTTTTATGGATTTAGGTTTCACATTGAAGTCTTTAATCCATCTGGAGTAAATTTTTGTATAACGTATAGGGAAGGGGTCCAATTTAAGTTTTCTGCGTATGGCTAGCCAGTTTTCCCACCACCATTTGTTAAATAGGGAATCCTTTCCCCATTGTTTGTTTTTGTCAGGCTTGTCGAAAATCAGATGGTTGTAGATGTGTGGTGTTATTTTTGAGGTCTCTGTACTGTTTCATTGGTCTATATATCTGTTTTGGTATCTGTACCATGCCATTTTGGTTACTGTAACCAAAGAAGTTTGAAGTCAGATAGTGTGATGCCTCCAGCTTTGTTCTTTTTGCTTACGATTGCCAGACCTTTTTGGTTCCATGTGAAATTTAAAGTAGTTTTTTCCAGTTCTGTGAAGACAGTAAATGGTAGCTTGATGGGAATAGCATTTAATCTATAAATTACTTTGGGCAGCATGGCCATTTTCAGGATATGATTCTTCCTACCCATGATCATGGAATTTCTGTCCGTTTGTTTGTGTCCTCTCTTATTTCCTTGAGCAGTTGTTTGTAGTTCTCCAAGAAAAGGTCCTTCACATTCCTTGTTAGTTGTATTCCTAAATATTTTATTCTCTTTGTAGCAATTGTGAATGGGAGTTCATTCTTGATTTGGCTCTCTGCTTGACTATTGTTCGTGTAAAGAAATGCTTGTGATTTTTGCACACTGATTTGGTATCCTGAGACTTTGCTGAAGTTGCTTATAAGTTCAAGGAGTTTTTGATCTGAGATAATGGGGTTTTCTAAATATAAAATCATGTCATCTGCTAACAGAGACAATTTGACTTCCTCTTTTCCTGTTTGAATACCCTTTATTTCTTTCTCTGGCCTGATTGCCCTGGCCAGAACTTCCAATACTATGTTGAATAGGACTGGTTGGAGAGGGCATCCTTGTTTTATGCCAGTTTTCAAAGGGAGTGCTTCCAGCTTTTGCTCATTCAGTATGATATTAGCTGTGTGTTTGTCATAAACAGCTCTTATAATTTTAAGATATGTTCCATCGGTACCTAGTTTATTGAGTTTTTAGTATGAAGGGTTGGTGAATTTTATCAAAGGCTTTTCTGTATCTATTCAGATAATCGTGGTTTTTGTCATTGGTTCTGTTTATGTGATGGATTATGTTTATTGATTTGCATATGTTGAACCACCCTTGCAAACCAGGGATGAAGTCGACTTGATCGTGGTGGTAAGTTTTTTGATGTGCTGCTGGATTCGGTTTGCCAGTATTTTATCAAGGATTTTCACATTTTGTTCATAGGGGATATTGGCCTGAAGTTTTCTTTTTTGTTGTGCCTCTTCCCAGTTTTGGTATCACGATAATGCTGGTTTTATAAAATGAGTTAGGGAGGAGTCCCTCCTTTTTGATTGCTTGGAATGGTTTCAGAAGGAATGATACCAGCTCCTCTTTGTATTTCTAGTAGAATTCAGTTTTGAATCCATATGATCTTGGGGTCTTTTTCATTGTTACTCTGGCCTCTTCTTTTTAGGGTACTAATCCCATTTCATAAGAGTGCTATTTTTTTTTTTTTTTTTTGAGACGGAATTTCACTCTTGTTGCTCAGGCTGGAGTGCAATGGCATGATCTTGGCTTACCGCAACCTCTGCTTCCTGAGTTCAAGCAATTCTCCTGTCTCAGCCTCCCAAGTAGCTGGGATTAAAGGCATGTGCCACCACGCCCAGCTAATTTTGTATTTTTAGTAGAGACAGGGTTTCTCCATGTTGGTCAGGCTGGTCTTGAACTCCTGACCACAAGTGATCTGCCTGCCTCGGCCTCCCAAAGTGCTGGGATTACAGGTGTGAGTCACCGTGCCCAGCCGAGGGTACCATTTTTATGACCTAATCATCACCCAAAGTCCTCACCTCTAAATAACATCACAGGGAATTGATTTCAACAAAAAACTTTGTAGGGGGACACAAACATTCAGTTCATAACAAACATGATGTATCAACATTTGGTCAAACACTATTCTTGATGTTTCTGCATAGGTGATTCTGGATGAGATTACCATTTAAATTGGTGGACTTCAAGTAAAGTAGATTACACTCCAAAATGTAGGTGGGCCTCCTCCAAACAGTTGAAGGCCTTAATAGCACAGACTGACCTCCTTTCCAGCAAAAATGAATTTTGCCACCACAATGCCTTTGGGCTCAACTGCAATTCTTCCTTCAATCTTCAGGCTGACAACCTACCTGAAGATTTTGGATTTAACAAGCTTTCTTCTTCCCTCCCTCCCTCCCTCTCTCTTTCTTTCTCTCTCTCTTTTTCCATTTATATTTATATTTTCAATTATACACACACATACATGCACACACACATCCTATCAGCTCTGTTTCTTTGGAGAACCCTGATTAATACCCATACTTACTTGACACTGAATTGGCTATCTCTTTTAACCCTCACAACAATGTTTTCAAATAACTATTGTTCTCTCTAATCCACGGATGAAGAAAAACTAGGGCTACAAAGGTTTAGTACCTTAGTAAGAAAGAGTGACGTCAAAAGCAGAGAGCAAAGCAGTTAAGTGGCCATCGCAGAGGCTATAGTGGTTTGCTCAAGGATCTACTGCTAGTGAGATACAGCCAGAATTTCAACCTAAGGCTATCTAATCCCAAAAGTAGGGGAAAATATTATCTTCATCTTTGTGCAAATATAGAAACTGAATCCTATACTGAATACTACAGAAAGTAAGTGACCTAAATTCGCAACCATGTTAGAAAAAGTCTGGAGGCTGGAAATGTGTGCTTTCACCTACAATATACTTAAAGTCTGACCAAAAGCCACTTTAACCTATTTTGTTTCCTTTAGGATGGTATTTCCTGATAATTTACTTTTACAGTAACAATTTTATCATAAGAGTAACATGGTCTCTCTGAGCATACAGTTTAGAAAACAAAATTTTATTTTATTTAAATGTTCCTAGAGAGAGTAAACTTTTTTTAGAACATCATTGTATTTACAGGCAAATTCTCCTCAAAGTTGACTACCTTTTCCAAATCATTAAATGTTTTCATTTTCTCAGCCAATAAAAAATAAACTAGACAACTGCCTAATAGAAATATAAAAACCACCTTGAGCAATGTGTTACCTGTCAAAGTCAGACTTCAGACGCTCAAAATTTTTTAGTATTCTAAGGACCTGAATCTCCTGACTGATGAAGGAAGGTGGCAACAATCCATGAATGTTCAATTGCTGTCTCTCTTCCAGGGTAAAGGCCAAGTCCTACAGAGAAAAAATAAATAAATAAATAAATAGAAACAAAAACCACAATAGTATTTGAGAGGAAAATAGACAGAAAGCACACATATAAAATCCAACAAGTGTATGCAATAAAAATCAGAAGTCTGCATCACTGGAAGCATGGCCATGTGGCTGTGAGTAAATCATGTAAGCTCTCCATATCTCAGTTTCCCTATCTCTAGCAATTAGAATACTATAATATTTCAGATCTATGCCACTCAAGATTATTAGGATAAAATCAGATGATTAATGGAAGGAAACTACTTAAAGACACAAAAATGAAAGAAGATATAATCGTTATTATTAATTTCAGTAAATATAAAAATAAAAAGTCATTAAAAGAGATTTTAAAATTATGAATGTGAGTAAGTCACTTGTACCCTGCTGTGATTCCACCTTTAGGGCAGGAAATGCCCTACATGATTCTGAGTTACCTGTTTTAACAGTCCTCTCCCAAGTTGTAGCCTTTGATTCTTACTCACTCCCAGGCATACAAAACTTCTAACCATTGCCCATACATACTATGCCCTTTTATTCTTCCATGGCACATGGTCAGGATATCCTTCCCTGTTTCTCTGATCTTCATGTGTTACCTCAAATGCTTCCTCCTCTCTAAAGCCTTAGTATATCCACTACAACTCTATTATTATATCTATGTTATCTGTTTATATGAACGTTGATTGTATAAAACAAATGATAATAATGAACAATGAAACTCAAAAACATAAAAACCAAATAGATATTATGTGCTGATACATAAACCATAATGGACGTAAGATATTCACTGGCACATAATTCAAGGCACAGTAATAGCAGAGCACCTCCTGTAGTCAAGAAAGTGATCAGGTAGATTAGGATAAGGAGTTTCTCTGGAGAGGCCTCCCACTGGGGACACTGAAGTCCAAGAGACTTCTTTGTCTAGACTGTGACTGCTGTTCCTCTGAGTCCAGGGTAAGTACACCGATATGATATGATAGTTGGTGTTGTGGTCTGAACATTTGTGTCCCCCACAATTCATATTGAAATCCTCACCCCCAAGTCCATGGCATTAGGAAGAAGGGCCTTTGGGAGGTGATTAGGTCATGAGGGCAGACCCCTCATGAATAGGATTACTACCCTTATAAAAGAGACCTCAGAAAGCTTTTCAGACCTTCTGTCATATGAGGACACAGTGAGAAGACCACTGTCTACAAATCTGGAAGCAGACCCCTCACCAGACACCAAATTTGCAGTACCTTGATGATGGACCTCCTAGCCTCCAGAGCTGTGAGAAATAAATTTCTTTTGCTTATAAGTCACCCAGTTCATGGTATTCCATCATGGCAGCCTGAAAGGACTAAGACAGTTGGTTTTGCTCATTGTGACTACTGCTATCCCTAAACAACCTGGATGGGTAAGAATGTGTTCACTAATTTTGCATTGAGTGATTCTACAGTGATTCCTCCGTCCCTGAAAGTTCCTTGCAATGACAGCATAGTGACTCTTGAGAACTTACAAAGTGTATTACTTGGGAGAAAGGAGAAATAATTTGGTTCATTCCACAGGAAGATGACAAACCCTGATTGGTTAAGAATAAACATATCCAACCCCAAGAAATTTGTGAAAGAAGTCAATGAATGAACAATTCTCTCTTTCTTCTAATTTTTCTCATAGATATACCCATTAATTCATGTCACTGATAGAAAAGTTTGTTTAATTAGCCTCCTGAGTTGAGGGCCAGACTTAAGAAAGACAAATTCGTCCACTGAATGGTGCCGTGATAGAGCTCTCTAAGATAACTGCAAAAGCTAGCGGAGACCAATGGCTCCAAAATTTTCAGCACAAGAAGCAGTGTACAACTTTCAATTCTCATAAGGTCTCTAAGTGCTATCACCACAGCTGGTGTCTAGTTGCAGGATATTTTTCATTAGCAGCCATTCTCATAGCTGCAAAAGCGCCCACTGTTACAGATGGGCATCCTCTGGAGTTCCAATATGTGTGAATGGCAGCAGAATGATCCCTTTCTAAGAGGATAATCCAGTATGTCCAACTGTGTCTGGACAAATCACCCCCTCCTGGATACCTAAATGCTAGACAGTACAGTCTTTCAGACCTTTGCCCAGCAGTTCCAGCTGGCATCAGGAGACATTTGTGGTATTGCCTAAACTCTTTGCCTGCCATTTACTTTTCTACTTGTGGTTTGTGTCCCCACACCAGAATGAAAACTCCATGACGTCACAGAATTTTGTTTGTTGTCTTCACTGCTTTCTCCCTAATGCTTACAACAGTGTCTGACATAATTAGAACTCGGTAATTTGTTGTACATCAAATTTTAACATATTCAATAGAATATAATTTATTAAAATTTATTATTAGAAAATTTAGAATTCATAAACAATTTCAAATATTCCATTTTAGAGATATTAAAAATTATACAAATCTATTAAATTACTGCTCAAAAAGCTGATTAGAATATTCATTCTGATCAAATTACTTTTAAAATTTAAAGCAACAAGAAACAGATATTTGTATAAAAGAGTAATTTATAAAATGGAAGACAGACTTCACTTGTTAAAGATACCTGGGAAGACAACATTTAAAACAAAATGTCATGAAATAACTCCTTGGAATGAGATAAAATTATGGACAGTAATGTATTTGAAAAAGAAAAAAGAGAAAACTCAATGGATTCTTCTCTAACTAGAAAATGAAAAGGGTAAAGGAAAGCTGGCTAAAGTCTCAAAAATATACAAATACATGCAAAAAAGCAGTAAACTTAGTGTCATGCCTTGAAAATCTGCCCAAAAACATAATAATCAAAATATCAATATTCTGATAAGTCTTATTGTAAGAAGTACTAACATATGCCCTTTCATTCACTTGAAAGTGGCATTTAACAACATTTATTGCTATACTTAGCCAGTGTTTTAATATAAATTTTCCAGTGGTCTGTTCTGAAACCGATTCCTAAATCTAACAGTTCTCCATCTCTTATGCCATGTAAATGACAATGCCATCTGGAAATCTTTTTATATTCTTTGATGTTTAGTAACTACAAACTCCCATACACTGTTAGCCAAATCTTCCAAGACATACTAAATTACTAAATTACTTTAGTAAGTGCCAATTCAATTCTTTTAAAAACAACAGCAACAAAACCTAGGGCTTAGAAATCTAGGGAACCAGGCCAAGTTAAAGTCCTAGGATTGGGGAAAAAGCATAGTCCTATGACTGGGTTCACATTCTATTACTACCCTTTGTAAGTTAAAAGAACATCAATCAGTAAGTAAGCTTAAATCTTAAAATCCCTGAAAAATTTAAAATGGATATTGTATGACTTCATTTAAGCCACAGTTTCTATTTTTCACACTAACAGAGACATATTCATTAGAGATATATTTTGTAGAAATTTATAAACAGGTCATTTATGTCTAAAGTTTAAAGTAAAATGTTTCAAAGAATTTTTACCTTAGCATTATCCTGCAGGGCCTATACAACAAAAGATAATGGATCCAAATTATACATGCAGGTTCTAACTTTCATTTGATTTCTACCAAGTCTTTCATGTAGTTGAAAATATTAGACATCTATCTATCTATCTATGTAAGGTTTCCAGACCACTTGTACGTCTGATTCTCTAAAAGCAACCTCATATATGCTAAGTTCGACCCTGGTTTTTCCCCTTTTTTGTCTATCCTTTCCTTTCCCTATTCCTTAAAAAACCTTTGGAGTAGATCCCTAGACAGCAGAATGGTACATTGTTGCACTGCTGCGGGCAGCAAACAGGACAACTATTCTTCTGGATTGTGCTAATTAACCTACGTATATCTTCTTGAGAAAACTGAGACTATCAAGCAGCAATGAAAATTCCTAACATGACAAAAGAATTGTATTAGAAACATATTTGCAGGGAGCAAGCATAACTGAGAAAGAAACTTTGTCCTGAGTAATTTATCAGAAACGATTACCATAAAAACAGAACAAATATATTCTGTATTCTGTGCTAACCAATGAATGATTTTCTTTTTTTCCCTGAATAATTACTAAAAGTAAATCAAGCTGAACTGCAAAAAAAAAAAAAAAAAAAAAAAAAAAAAACAAAGGGGGGTGGAGCTTTATCTTATTCACAAAGATCCTTAAGACAGTTAATCTATACATGTATGAAAATTCATTATGGTAAGAAAGCTTATAATTTACATGTTTGAGGCTATGATCAAATTAGGGCAGAGACAGTTTGTGTGTTCTGCTTAAGTAGTATAATCTCTAGTGTCTAGAATAATACTTGTGCAGTATTATTCTTTATAGGCAATCAACAAAAATGTATTGGATTAACTAACTGATGATTAATCAATTATACTTGTTATAGTACATTTTGTAGAAGACGAAGCAGAAAAGCGAATAAGGAAGTTTAAAAATAGTAGAGAAGCAAAATGGAAAGTAATAATTGCAAATAATTTGAAACAACAAAAGTCCTTCAACTGGTAAATGGATAAAATTAAGGTATATCCATACACTGAAATATTACCCAACAATAAAAGGAAACAAACTATTGATACACAAAACATAGATGAATCTTAAATGCGTTATGTTAAGTGAAAGAAGCCAGACTCAAAAGGCTACATATTGTATGATTCCATTTATATGACATTCCGAAAAAGCAAAATTATATGGATAGAAAAGTATCAGCAGTTTCCAGGGACTGGGAGTGGAAAGAAGGGTTTGACTTCAAACAGGAGGCAAAAGGAAAATGTTTTTAGGTGATAGAAACATTCCTTAGTGTGGTGTTGGTTACACAACATTGTACGTTTGTCGAAACTACCAGAACTGTACATCAAAAGTAAATTTCCTTATACTGAATTTTATTAGGCTCTATAGAGTCAATTTGGTAACTAATATTCTCTTTACTTAAAAAAGAAATATAATTACAATGACTGAAAATTGTTTAGCAAATTATTGACATATTTCATATTCCAAATTTTAAAATATTCTTTGTTTTTTGGTTT